TAATCATTTCGAATTATTTTACGTTTTGCTATGCTGACTTTGAAGGTGAAAACTGCATAATGTTTTATTATACATGAAAGTAAAACATTTTTATAAATAACTTTCATTAAAAACAAAACAGAAGCACACGTGCAATTGAACTTTAAAAAAAATTATTAGTGTTTATTGATTGACAGTTATTCCCCATCGGAAATATGTAGGGCCTATATGTAAATGTATTTATAACTAACCACAGCTGAAATTAAAAAAAGATATAACACACACATCTCACATACGCTTATTTAATACGTAGCATATTATGTTTTATGTTTTTAATTGAGTATATTTTTAAGAAAACTACTACACGTGAATCAGTTTTTAAAAATACACATTCTATGAATTATTCAAACTATTTAACATTTGTTGAACAGCTAAGTTCTGAGTTGGTCTATCTTGTACGACTGACTGTAGTTTCGCTACTACTTCATGTTTTGTCGACTCTCTATCTTGAGCCAGACTGAGACGCCGAGTCACAAATTTCACGACATGCTCTCGCGTAAACTTGTACACATTGACATCCTCAGCGAATGTTCTGTTCCTGACCTCTTCAATGTCGGCGTGGGGCTGGAATGTGTAGTCTGCAACTTCGCCTTTTACTTCGTGGTTCAACCACGCGTAAACCGCACGGATTAAATCATCAGGATTATCACTGGGGTATCCATTTATAAATGTATCTAAAATAAAATCTGACGGTTTATTAAGAAAATAATGCGTTGCACTAAATCTGATACAGTCGGACGCTATTAGGGTGGATAGTTTTGTAGACACAGACATACATCCCATTGTTAGAGCTTCGTCATGTAAAAATAAATAATTTTCTAGTGATAGATTTTTCTCTATGTATTCCTCACACATTCTCGGCAAGTAAATAACTTTTAGGTAGCAGCTAGCAAACCAAATGTCGATCATATTCGTCTGGTTAATCAAAAGTTTTCCTGTCACGATAGCACGGAGAATAATCCTGAATATTTCTGGCTTAATTCCCTTGATCACTACCTTTGAATCTGTACTGAGAACTTGTCGGAGTGACTCCGAGAAGGCGAAAAGATGGGATTCTGTTTCCTTGAGTTCCTTAAAATCTGGAGTCAGCGCTTGCCGGAAAAATTCAGAGCATGCGCAGAGATGAGATTTCGTTGCTTTAAAAATCTGGCCATCAACAATGATGGTGCAGTCATAAAGATTATTCTCTACACGAAACTGGTCAACTGTTTCTAGAATAAAACTTGCGTCTATCTCCATAGTTAAAGCTGAAATGAATTAGTTTTAAGTCATAGTATTATTTTAGCGAAAAATCAAATCATGTTTTAATCTAAAATTACTTTTTAGCGCAAATTCCATTCTGGAGAATTGCGTTTATTAACCCGTCATTTCTGGATGTATGAATGTATGAATATATGAATGTGTGTCCGCAGCTTTAATTCGTATCTCCTCCTCAACGAAGCAATATCGAGGACTAGTTCCAAAGCAATTATGTTAAGCAAGTTACCAGGATGATAGTGGGCCAAAAAAATTCCGGGTTTCTTTCATGGATTTCCCGGAAAAGCCAAAAAACCTCGAAAAGAATCAGTTTTTGGCCCATATCTCGGCAACCAGACCACTTAGCGACTTGAAACATTTACTAATCGATTCCTGCCATAATTTAGAACAATATTGCCGAAGAAAGTTTTCAAAAATATCCTTTCGTTCGGTCACAAAAAATTTTTGAATTAATTAAAATTTGGACCGAATTAGTAGGCATGTTTATCCAACCACACAACACGCGTCATCACGTTCAATAGCTGCGCCATCACGTTCAATGGCTGCGTCATCACGTTCAGTAGCTAGGCGCACAATGGTTTTTAGTCATGTAACTCTATTGTAAATAAAACATGTAAAATACTGAAAAAAAAATTAATAAAAAACGTTTTAATAACTAATTAACTAACCAATGGTTTTACTAACCCTGCTCTTGATTTACGCTACGACAGAGCTATTTTTAGATAACATAAGGAAATTGCGCTAAAATTGTCACTAGACTTTTTAATTACCTTGTTTAAAAAGAATTACAATAACAAGTACAAAACGTATAAACATTAATGCTACGACTTACAAACTGCTAGGTTTGTTAGTAATCCAAATTCTTTTTTTTTCATTAGATTTAAAGTTAAACCAACATACACATACACATTGCATAAAGAGTCTCCTCAGTTTTAACTAAAGTAGAAAATATTCGTACTTGCACTTGACTCTACTTCTACTGTAATTTTACTGTAATTTCTTAATTATAAAGTTGGTCCTTATTTCCTCCAACATATTCAAGAATTACGTGTTAGCTTCTTATGCGCCCTATAGACTGTTGACTTACATTTGAGCTTGTTTTTTTTTCTTGTGTTTGCTTCATCAGCCTTTTTTCATCCAGGCAGAAACTACAAAGCAGCAGTTGTTTGACAGTTAAAACTTTCTTTCATAGATGGATCGTAGTGCACATGTATTGAGTCTCATCTGTTCGAAGTTCGAGCTTTACTGACTCGGCCACACGGACTCGCTGTAGTCTACCATATACCCACATTAAAGTTACGTTTTATTACTACGTACTTACTGGTTTGATTGTCTGTTCTTAGAAGACAACAACTGTAACTTTAAACACGTTTTAATTTCTACTTATCAACAGATAAGCAGGTCAAAGTCGTATGAGTTATCTAAAGACACCCACGTTCGTAAGGTTCGAGGTATCTAACTAGACCCTTGTTCGAGAAAACGATTCAAAATCATTACCAACAAATGAATGGAAGTTTTTGCACTGAAATTAGGGTGGTCGGATGTTAGTGCATACGGCTACTAAGTCGAAAGTCTCTAGTTCTAATCCCGGGGTTCGTGGAAGTTAAAATTTCCTTGAGCCAACTCATCTTTTATGGGTACCCGACTTCGGCTAAAGAAAATATAGTTATAACTATACTATCTATTCAGTTGCTGTGGTCATTGAAACAGGTGAATTCTACTTCATTTATTCCATGGACATTGTGAAGGTGGGGAAAAACAGCACCACCAAATGTGAGGGTGGGGGTAATCAGATGAAGAGAAGATCCAACACACAGTCCAGTTCAAGATGCTCTATAATTCTTTATTTACACAAATCAACTGTTCTACTTCTACCTAACTGGTCTATACTGTATGCGCTCTACTAATCCTACTAATTACACACTTCTATCTAACTGAACCCTCCCATCACCATCCCTAACACTATCTACCTCTAACTCTCTACCTAACTCTACATTTCTGTGACGGTTCCCTACTGCTACCTATCACCAACTGCTACTGATCTAACTACTGATCCACGCTTCAGTGGTCAGCTGACCGTCCCGCGTGACCGGTCAGCTCCTGTATATCTATCCATTGGTCTGTTTAACTAAACTATAGTCTGTTTCTACAATCTACTCTGAGCTAGCGTCATTACAGACATATTTTAAAATGCATTATCAATAGTTCAAGCGGCACACTGAATTAAAATCTACAGTTTTATCACTTCAAATTGTGCTAGAAGTAAACGAAATTCAAACCAGAAAATCACTACAAACTTATCCGACAAAGGTCAAAGGTTAGTGTAGTGTCTTGAAATACAAAAGGGAACGAACCATGCCATTCAGCTCTTACATTAGCTCTTGCATTATTCAAGTTGCGTCCCTTGTTGTTTACACAGGTAGCCTATACAATTATGTGAACAGGTAAGAGATTTTAATAATCAGTTGTCAACTGGTAAACAACAAGTGAGGTCAAATAAATCCTGCTTGTAATTTCAACCTGTGTTTATTCAACCTGTGTTGTTTCACCTATCAACATTACAGCTAGTATGTTATTTATGGAATATAAAATCATTCTCTTGCTGATATTGCTTATTTTAAAACTTATGGGATTTTAATGTTCTATGCAAGCCTTATTCATAGTCAAGAAATAATTTGCCTCCCTTAGCTATGTAAGAACGTAATAAAAAATATTCATCAATCCTAATATATAAAAGTCCATGTGCGCACTTCTCTCTCTCTCTCTCTATCTCTCTCTCTGTCCGCAACATTTTAGGCGATGTGATCAGTATGTTCAGCTATATATGAAGAACTTAAAGATGCGGAATTTTGTTGAAAATAATATGGTGAATGTTATAAATGAATAAACTAAATTTTATTTAAAGCAAGAAAAAAAATAAAGGTATATTCGAATGTAGAAACATTTTTAACTATGCAGCTGTGTTTTTTGTCGTGACAAGAACGCAATAAACAATGACGTCACATACACTTGTTTAAACTAGAAAAGAACACAACACTAATGGCGTTATCTTCCGATTTTAGAATATAAAGAAATGAACTATTTCATTTAAATTTTATTTAGATCTACATATCATGTCGTACACTATGAAATGTAGACAATTTTCTCCGCCAAAAGTAATACAAATTTTAAAAATAACACGAATACCATAGAACAGCCGGATTTATAACGGAGTCAGTTAAGTGTGCATTTTATATGGTGTTGTGTTGACTCATAATGTAAATACTTTGTTTTTTCTAATAGGTATTGGTAGACTATGTTATTTTAAATGTGTCGGATTTTTAGCTATTTAGTTATTTATTTGCTTTGTCACTAATATTTTTCAACGTGCAGTAAAGCACATTGCGTTTTGACTAATGGCTATTTTATAAAATATTTTTCTCAAACAAGTTTAACATTAAAATATATAGGCCTATAAAAATTATATGCATAAATCAAACACTGTTTTCTAAAATGTTCTATATGCTACCCTCTACACATTTAACAGAATATATATCAACATTATAAATCCCACGCATTTTGATCTTTAAAATGTATCATGTATGCTGTATGCTGTGACTAATAGATGTAGACGATGTTTCAATGATGTGTTGATTTCAGTTTCAATGTCAAATAGGAACTGGGTTACCCGTCACTACACACACACAGATACACACACAGCCACACGGAAGTGACAGTCCACCCCACACAACCGTATCCATTCACGACGTGTAGTAGGTATGTAAGTGTTTTATTTATCTATTACATTCTATTTTCTTCTAACTCAGGATGCTATCTAATTATAATGGTGCGAAGAGATAACTTTACGAAAGGTTAACACGTTCTACATCTGATAATGTTATAACTGAATTTGTTTCCCATCCTTGTGAAATGTAAACCCTCAGTAGTTTTACTTGACCTATTTTATTCTAAGTAAAACATAAGCAGCCGAATCCGGATTACATAGGAGTGTGGAGAGAGGCAGATTTTTTTTTTGCATCTCTTATGCAGGTGGGGGGGGGGGGGGGGTTGGGGTGGGTGGTCTTAAGCAGTCTACCGCGCCTATATAACAATAGAATAGATATATTTTATGTAGATAGTATATAATTGGGGGGGGGGGCAGGAATTTAGACAGTATATTATTTTTGTACTTTTAAAATTACAGTTGTTGCAAAAGGAATGCTACATTGAAAATATTTTATAAAGACTGATTACAGTATTAGCCGTATAAGTAAATGCACTAAAACTGTATGGTACGGCTATCACTTTTAGCATCATAATACAATACTGTTTATTTAATTTTAAGCTTTACACTTGGCTTATAAATACTTAAAGTTTTTGTTATTTAATATAGTAGCAACACCATGTTTAATTATTTTATTAAAATTTTATTTTTAAATTTTTAGAAAAAAAAACCCTTAAGAAAAAATGGCCTTGGATAATGAGCTAGCAGTGGATATAATCCAAAGTGTGGGCCGCTACTGGTCAGACAATGAACACAGTGACTGTAGAATTTCTGTGGATGGCCAGGTGTTTCAGGCCAGTCGCTTCCATCTCAGCGCTTGTTCAGAGTTTTTCAGGCAAGTTTTTCACACTGAGTCTATCACACACAAGGAGAATATCGTCATTAAGGGGATCAGTGCTGATGTGTTTAGCTGTGTCATCAAGGCGTTGTTTACAGGAGTTGTTGGACTTGATGAATCAAATATGGTAGATGTATGGCTGGCTGCAAGTTATTTGAAAATTGATTTTTTGGTCAAGAAATCTGAGAAGTTCATTGAAGAGCATTTGACAGCCCAGAACTATGTTCAACTGTATGAGAGGATTTCTAGCTTGGACTCTGCTGAAATCAACAAGAAACTGGTCGATTTGATGGCTCAAGATTTTGAAGCGTTTAGACAAACAGAAACTTTCTTAAACCTGCCATCGGAAATGGTTATCAAAATTGTAGAAATTGGAGAGATTAAGTCCCAGGACAATTTAGTTGAGTCGGTGCTGAAATGGGCCAGTCATGTCCCTAAAGATGTAGTCGGGACATTCGGTCTTCAGTTGTATCATGACTTCCAGGATCTCATGGAGAAAAATCGTGACGATTCTTGTGTAACCTTTGGCTTCAGTAAAGAACACGTGTGTCAGTTTGTGGCCGATGACGTCACCAGGAGCCAAATTCTGGGCCAGTTGATCAAGAAGGTGAATCTTGGTGAACTCAGTGAAACTGGCCTGAAGATGATCTATGAAGACAAGCTGGCTATAGAACATCACGATGTGAAGGATGTCGTCATGCATGAATTCGCAGCACGAATGTTGTACAGAACCGACAACAAAACGGTTGCAGTTTACCAGAATACACAACCTGATAGCTCGTCCAGTGACTCGCAGTTGACCAATGTAGAGTGTGAAGACAAGCAACTGGCTAAAACCGTTGAAAAACCTGTCGACATAGATTTAAGAGAATTCAGTTTAGGGCATATTAAGAGCTACCATATTTTCGAGGTCCCTGATTGGGTGGTTGCAAGTTACGACAGGATTAAAAATTACGCCCAGCCTCAGACTGCCGTGGATCTATCAGAAAAATGTTACTTAGAAGAAAGTGTTGTGTTTTTTACAAATCAAACTTTTGTTATGTTCTATTTTGAAAAACATAAATTTTATAAATTGTTTGAAACAGAAAGTAAAATAAAACAATTTTATGTCTTTGAAAATAATCTTTATTATAGCCAAGATGTAGATAAAGACTGGACGATTACAATGAAAATCACTGGCCCAAATCAATCAACATTAATATATCAAGGCTCTATAAAAAATTCAACATCCTTTAACATAAGATATTTTATTGCATTTCCTTTTATCTACAAAATTGAACTGAACAAAGCAAAAGTAATTGTTTCGAGAACTGTCATTAGAGAGAGCAGTAATGATGTATGGACAACTATTCTGAGCGATGAAATCTCGAACTCCGACGACCCTCATTTTAGCTTTTACTACACCTTAGTAAAAGGAAACAATATCATCTTGTTTCTGTCGGGTGACGAAAGTAAAATTGTTTACTTTGATGTCAACTCTCATCAACTTCATCATATACACAGTGTAGAATGTGAAATGGCTAACTATAAAATATTCGAAATGCATGGATTTTATTTCATGTTACTTGGCAATGGTCTGTTATTTCAGATTGTCCATAAAGAAAACATTAGCATTATCTTCCGTCAAATAATGTGGAAAGGCACTTTAAATTTGCATGGCGTATTCCACCAGAGAATGGGTTGTAGCTACAGCCTGTATGTGTTCACGGATAAAAGAGCAAATGTGGAAACTATTGGTAGGAATACATATAATATAGGCCTACATCAAGTTCATTTGGACTCTTTTATTTTCAATCGGCAATGTGAATGTATGGGAGTTCATCATAGCTGGCTTATAAAAGAATTGGTACGTTAAAAGTAATATATAGTGCTGCAAGTTCAAACGTTTTTCTTTTAAATAGTAACTCTTATTTGTATTTAAACCATAACTAAAATATTAAGCATAAATTACTATTAAATGAATAATTTAAAAGGGGAAGTTGGTGTCTTTTTCCGTAAAATCTCTGCAGATAGTAGGCTAATTATGCATTAAGTTGCATCTAAGTTGATGTTCTAGATTCTAAAAGCTAACGCCTGATGCATAGAACTTACAAGCTTTTCAAATTTTGACGATTCACATTGTTAGGATACACCACGCAGAAAGCAACAAAGTTCAATTTATGTAACAATCAAGTAATTTATCTGTTTACATAGAACAAAACAAAAATGTCGCCATTTAATTTAAAAAAAGGAATCTTAGAAGCTGATAGATACATTTATGTATAAGATGTATCTATTTTTAACAGCGTGATAAAGAATGTGTATGTAGAATTTAATAAACTTTTTTTTTATGTATGATGAATCTCCTTGTTCAAATTAAATCTTATTTCTCAAGTCAGAAATTCCAAAAACAAAACATGAGTTTAATGTGCTAATTACATTTGTTCATTTTTGTTCTAAATCTGTATTGAATGATACATTAACTTTTGTTTATGACATAATTGATTTGATTTTTTTTTCAAATTGTTATAGTTTTTCCCAGAAATTGTCTAAAAATAAATAGTCGAAAAATAAACGTAATAATTAAAATCATATTAGATCTTATTTTCTATGCATTTCTTTGCCTGAAAAAAAATTGGGTTTACTTTTTCGTATGCAGAGTTTAAAGGAATTGTTGTAATCGTGCGAAAATCTCGATTCTTTACAACTTCTTAACTCGGAAATAACTTTTTTTTTTGCAATCTTCCATGTGTATTTTTGCATATCTTCTTTTTTTTATCTGCCTCTTTATTCGTCATTTTGTCCGATCCCCCGCCATGTTTTATGTCATGTGACTCCCTCCCCACAAGTAGGTCACATGACTCACCCCACATATCCGGTCACATGACTCACCCCACATATCAGCTCACATGACTCACCCCCACAAAAGTTTATTATTACATGAAGAACAAATATGATGGAAATTGTATTGTGATTATAAAATAAAACAAATATAAAAAAAAAACTTTATCGCAACACGCTTTTAAATGCACAGAAAATAAGAAAATAACACTAATTTGCTTTCTTTCATAAAAGCTTTTGTCGCTAAAAAATATGTAAAAGATTTCATGAGCAACCAAAAACGTGTATTAAAGAAAGAAGGTTAGTTTTATTTTCTTATTTTCAGCGCATTTAAAACTTAATTCTATAAAGGATTTAATTATTTGTTCTATCTTCAACTAATTTCTAATTTACGAAGTCTACACAGCTAAAAATATCCGCTTTAAAACACCATCATTAGCTCTCAATTATTTTCCCCGTGAAAGCAACCGTCCATGACCTTATATTCAGACGGCAGAAAGTTCTTAACCTTGTTACATCCAAAAAATTATGTAAAACGTAATGATCTGCCCCTAATAGCCTGCACTAGAACGCAGAGGCGTAGCGACCCTTCCCGGGGACAAACTTTCGATCGATTTGAACCCCCCCCCCCCCCTCGAACTTTTGATTTGCACCCCCCTCGAACTTTTGATTTGCACGACCCCCTTTCAATTTGTTTTTCCAACCCATTTCGGCGCCCCCCCCCCCTTTAGGTCGGCGCCCGGGTACGTATGTCCCCCCCCCCCCGCCCCCCTCCCCTCGCTACGCCACTGCTAGAACGACCGAATTTCGAATTGTAAACATTCTCGTGAACCACAGCTCACCAGACTGGGTGATCGCTTCTATTGAGTTGTCTCCCCTTACGTTATTGAATATAGTAATCTATCCAGTGATTTAATTTTGTTATCTCCATTTAGTTTCGAAACAGTTTAACTAACTACTTTTAATGACTAATTATTTAAATATCCAGTTAAATCGAGAAAAAAAGACTTGTATTGTCGTCGAAGTGGAACGAATCTGAAAAGTTTGAACGAAATCGGTGCAGTAGTAGTGAGTAAAAATTTAGTTGAAAGATTTGCCACAAACCCGCAAACTAACAGACAGACGTTGCGAACTAAATTAAAGTTTGTAATAAAACAAATATAAAAAACCTTTATGGCAACAAGCTTTTAAATGTACTGAAAATAAGAAAATAAAACTTATCCACTTTCTTCATAAAAGCAGTGGTCTCTAAAATGTGTAATAGATCTCATGAGTGACCAAAGCTTTTTATAAAAGAAAGCAGATTAGTTTTATTTTTTTATTTACAGTACTTTTGATAGCTTGTTAATATAAAGCTTTTTATATTTGTTTAATTTTCTACTTTTTAGTAATTCCTAATTTTTACTACTAAAAATATTTGATTTAAAACACCATTAAAAGTTCGTGATCTCTAAAAGACTTGTATTGTCATCGAAGTGGAACTTATCTTGAAATCGCTGCATTATAAGCTGGTCAAATATTGAGTTACAAGATTTGCCGCGAAAAAAACACACAAACAAACAGACAAAAAAACCAACCCTGTAAAATGAGAAAAAACAGCAAAAACGCATTGAAACTGGGAGTAATCTCCCTTAAACATTCTCGAATGGCAACGCGAGATATAGACTTGACTTTTAATCAATTTTTAATATAATTAGTTAAACTATTTAAAATAGAATCAAAGTAGAAAAAAAAGAATTGCGCACCAAGTTAACGTAAACAATCTATCTATAATAGTGCGGAATATTATTAGTACTTTATAAATTCATTTTATTTTTTGTTTGAGAAATCGAAAACAGGTTAAATTACTCTTTTCCGGTCAACGAAAATTACTCAAAATTTGAAAAAAGGCAGAAAGTTAGATTTTTTACTTATATGTGAAATTTCGTTTATTTATCTGAAAGAGAACTCAAGTTATAGGCTTTAAAAAACTAAAAAAAAAGTCCCACTTCCGTTTATAGGAAACTGCTAAAAAGTTGAAACAGAACTAAAAATTTGATATAATACCTATATGTGAAATTTCATCAACCTAGCTGAAACGGTACTCAAGTTATCGTGTTTACACACACACACACATACACACACACACGGAAAGAATTGCAAAACCCAGTTTTTTCTGACTCGAATACACATAAAAAGCCAAAATTTTGATAAAACTGGATATAGAGTTTTTGCTTGATTAAAAGTATTCTCCTTGACTCCGTGTATGATGAAGTACCGAGGTGTAAAACGGTGAAAACTGTTAAAATTTCTTGTGATTTTTGTGCACGATTACAATAATTCCTCTATACTCTGTATACTATAAAGTAAAAATGTATATAGTATCCATTATGACGAAAAAAGAGTATTTTGGTGAATTTTTTGCTGCGCTAATCTCCTCAATGGCGGAGAGCAATTAAGTAAATCAAACTACAAAAACAATCACCGCACATATTTTCCAACAACCCGACCCGAGTTTGACCTAGCCATTTACTGATGTTTTCACCAGCGGTAAAATCAATTGTTCGGGCAATCATGTGATTATTGAACGAGAAATCAATGTATTAAATTTTATATTCGACTCATTAAAAATCACATTAAAAAACTCAAGGTTTTCTTAGCCTTAATGTGTACATCGATTCGTTGTTTTAGCTGGCGAGGCCTTATTGCAATGTAGATGGTGATTGTGTCGGGTTTATAATCAGACACAGCGAGTGAGGTAAATGTACAGATGGTCTAGGCACGTCTTGACACAAGATTGACACGACGATGAAGACCAGACGTTTTCAAAGACCTGGGAAGGTTGTCTGTTTCTTGAGTCTGGTCTGTGTGTTGATCGTGTTCATGATCATAGCGAGTTCTTTTAATTATGGATATTTTCCTACATTAGCTGGAGTTTCGTTGGATTTGAACTTAAACACAAGTGGGTAGACTATTTTTTTTTTTTATTAGCATATTTAAAATATATATTCAATTTTGAGAAGAATTCTTCGTTAATGTAATAATAATAATGTAATAGTATATTCAGTTTATATTTATTTACAATTAAAAAAAACGACACTTTATTACTGAATTTATTTAAGATTATATTGCCTGTAAAATATTTTTTTATCAGAAACATATTGATTACGTTTGAGGTATTGCAATGACCGGTTAGTTCTAAAATAAAGTCTGCCTGTCGTTAGACAATAACAACATGATGATTAATATCTGGTTCACAGCTGGGGATAGGTTTCATATCGTGAGAGAATATTTGGCTTCTGAAAAACTCTTGCATTCGGTCAGCGAAGATACATCGATGGGGGGTGAAACAGACACACCACAAGGTGATGACACATCTGATGGTGACACATCTGATGGTGACACACCTGAAGATAATACTATTGACACACATGACCGTGACATACCTGAAGATGATGTAACTGACACACCTAACGATGATGTAATGGACACACCTAAGAGTGGTGAGACAGACGAGGAGCAGGATAACGACACATCAGACGTTGATGACACACCTGAATTTGATGTAACAGACACACCTGTAGATGATGACACACCTGGAGATTATACCACACCTGGAGATGATGACACACCTGACAGTGATGACGCACCTGTAGATGATGACACACCTGAATTTGATGTAACAGACACACCTGTAGATGATGACACACCTGGAGATGGTGACACACCTGGAGATGATGACACACCTGTAGATGATGACACACCTGAATATGATGACACACCTGAGAGTGACGACACACCAGACAAAGATATAACGGTCACACGTCTAATTAATCACAAGACACCTAATGACCTCTTCACCTCTCCATTCATCGTTTACACCGACGCCCGATTCGCATCTACCACCACCCACAACACCACTAGCCTCAACATGAGTTTTGACTTGTACATGCGCAGTCAGACCGGAAATAGAAGCTACAGCCCCAACCCTTTATCCCGTAATACAAAATTCATCGTTAAAGACACGGGTTCGAATCCTGTCCGCGCCAGGACTTTTTCTGTTGTGATGTCGTGTGAAAACACAACCAAACCATGTTTTCAAGTCTTATTTTACAATCACGTGACTTGCTGGTCTACGTCATGTAGCTTCACATATGACTGGAAAAATGCCGATGTTTTGGTGATTACAGGCAACAAGTAAGTTGGACTGTCATCCTATTCTATTGTTTACATAGGGTAAAAGAATGTTTAGATTTGTCTCTTTTCTTGATTTTACATAGGCAGCAATAATCTTCGAAATTTTGATACTTTCTATTGGAACATTCGGCGATTATTCTAGAAAATAGTAGTAGGAAATCTTTTGCCTCTAAGTAGTAGACATTCTTTTGCTTCTTAGTAGTAGGCAATATTTTACCCCTAAGTTATTTTTTTTTGAGGAAACAATAATTCTACTCTATCATACGTTTTAATGTGATCTTTGCATGCTAAGGAAAAACATTTTAATAAACTATAAATATTTCAAAATTTTGTGCAAGAAAAAAGCAATTTTACAGTAAATTAACCCATGATCACTACAGTACTTTTTTTAATAGTAAGGGAAAAAGTATAACTCTAATTTTAAAAGAAAATCAATATCAATAAAATCGTTTCCATTGTACAACTGCGTTGGTACATGGTAGATAATACGAGAATGAGTCGAGTAATGAAGATTACTTTATCGTAGTGCAATCAAATAAAATGTATGCACTACCACACATATTAAAGACATATTGAACTTTTTTTCTTGCTATAGTTTTCTTTAAAATAACTTCTCTGCAAAATCTTAACTGTCTTAATATTGAGAAAAGAAGGTCAATCATTATCAGTTTGACATTGATCACAGCTCAGGTAGGCGTGTAACGTGTATCGATACATGCAGGTGTATCGACCACAACTAATCGATTGATGAATGAACGAAGGTGAGAAATAAACGTCAAGACTCAAGTCTAACACGAGCATTTTAGGATTGAATAAAACACGATATGTGATAGTCCTTGTTGCTGTTAGAGCTATGGGGACAAATTGTATGGACATATATATATATATATATATATATATATATATATATATATATATATATATATATATATATGGTTCCATGACAAATGATCTCAGGACAAATGATCTCAGACAAAATATCTCAGACAAAATATCTCACGGACAAATGATCCCAGGACAAATGATCTCAGGACAAATGATCTCAAGGACAAATGATTTCACGGACAAAAGATACCAGGACAAAATATATCAGGACAAAAGATATCATGGACAAATGATCTCAGACAAAATATCTCAGACAAAATATCTCACAGCAAAATTTATTAGTATGTACGATGATTTTAGTTGATTTGAACTTTTTTTTTAATTGACTGTCAATATGGTTTTGTTTACTCTTTTTACGCATAATAACTGATTGTTATAAAATGAATTTGTTGAACTTAACAAACAAATGTGAATGGGCCTTCAGGTTCGTAACTTAAAAGTGTTGTTTTTACTGCATCATTAACACAAAAATAAAGTTTACGTTACTTTGCTGGCAGGTACATCGTTATGATCACACATTTCCAATACTATGTGATCATGTATTGTGTGAACTTTCGGTGTAGCCTACATGTTTTACTTGACATTTCCAAATCTCTTTGCCTGCTGCTCTACTTATGGCTTTTATAAACAGAAATTCATTAGAAACTAATGCCCTATAGCCTATCTTCGAGGTAACGAAAGAGGCCTTAGCCGAGTAAGCACCAATAATACTGCTTTGTTCGTATGTACGCTACGACAAACTTCGCTTCGCGATGACCGCTGTCGTTTAAATAAGCATTTGTCACCTGATCACTAAGGTGTGACCGACGCATACAAATTGACTTTGGATGCTAGATGTATTGTCCATGGAGGGCGGATGTCTTTCCAATAAGACATATCTCTGCCATCAAAGTGAGCGGCTACCTTGATTCGAAGGTGTGTCGTTATTGTTATTTCATTCCCTTTGATCTAGTTTCGTCCACCTAACGTGGTAGGATTGTTTCATGTTTGTCAAGCACACCTTCACTATCTATCGAAGCAAATTCTTTAATCTTCGCATACTATATTAGTAATCTTATTTTAAAAATGCTTAGTACAATATGGCAAATTTATACGGCAAACATTTTTTACAATTATTATATAGTCCTATAAACAATATTAAACACAGTAAACAAAACCATATGACAGTCAATAAAAAAAATGTTCAGATCAACTAAAATTATCCAATACATTTTTAAAATTTTGCTGTGAGATATTTTGTCTGAGATATTTTGTCTGAGATCATTTGTCCATGATATCTTTTGTCCTGATATATTTTGTCCTGGTATCTTTTGTCCGTGAGATCATTTGTCCTTGAGATCATTTGACCTGAGATCATTTGTCCTGAGATCATTTGTCCGTGAGATATTTTGTCTGAGATATTTTGTCTGAGATCATTTGTCCTGAGATCATTTGTCCTGTCACCATATATATATATATATATATATATATATATATATATATATATATATATATATATATATATATATATATATATATATACAATATATATATATATATATATATATATATATATATATATATATATATATGTATATGTATACATAAATGACTCTGCATCAGTCAATAGTAATAAACTATATTCGTTTTCAGTTCCAATTTAAGATGATGTAATTACCAAGTTATTATTGATTTTTTAACTTTTAAACCTTTTTACGATCAGTCACATTTGTTATTAAATATATATTATTTAGCGCAATTTCCATTCTGGAGAATTGCGTTTATTAACCCGTCATTTCTGGATGTATGAATGGATGGATGGATGTGTGTCCGCAGCTTTAAGTCGTATCTCCTCCTCAACTAAGCAATATCGAGGACTAGTTCCAAAAGCAATTATGTTAAGCAAGTTACGAGGATGAACATAGGCTATAAAAAATCCGGGTTTCTTTCATGGATTTCCCAGAATAGCCAAATAACCTTTTAAAAAAGCAGTTTTTGGCCCATATCTCGGCAACCAGACCACTTAGCGACTTGAAACATGTACCAATCGATTCCTGCCATAATTTAGAACAATATTGCCGTAGAAAGTTTTCAAAAATATCCTTTCGTTCGGTCACAAATTTATTTTTTTAATTAATTAAAATTTGGACCGAATTAGTAGGCATTTTTTCCAACCACACCACACGCGTCATCACGTTCAATAGCTGCGCCATCACGTTCAATGGCTGCGTCATCACGTTCAGTAGCTAGGCGCGCAATGGTTTTTAGTCATGTAACTCTATTGCAAATAAAACTCTAGCTACTGTAATACATAACTTTAGCTACTGTATAACTCTAGCTTATGTAATACATAACTCTAGCTACTGTAATACATAACTCTAGCTACTGTAATACATAACTCTAGCTACTGTAATACATAACTATCACCACTGCCTGTAACTTAACAGAATCATCGATGAGAAATCAATCCCAGAGTTCACCCGCCCAGCAGGACAGAGGTGGGTCATGAAGACGATAGAAGCTCCGTGTCGTGCCAGGGACTTTGAGGCTCTGAACTTCACGCGACTTAGAGGTGGGTGTGTTGGTTCTAAATTGTACACGTCTTAGAGGTGGGTTGGTTTGTTCTAAACATTTCATGTCTTAAATGTGGGTTGGTTAGCTCTTATTGGAGGGTTTGTTAGCCCTATACTTCTCATGTCTTTAATGGTGGGTTTGTTAGCCCTAAATTTCACATGTCTTTAAAGGTGGGTTTGTTAGCCCTAAACTTCACATGTCTTTAAACGTGGGTTTGTTGGCCTTAATTCTTATTCTTTATTAAGACGAGTTCTTAGGTCAATCATAAAGTTAATGTTTGGTAATTTTGACGAAGCACTTCTTAATTTTTTAGCAATAGTTTAATGTGAACTTGGAATTAAAGCTACTTTGGTCCTTTTGGTTAAATATAATTAAAGAGCACAGAAGTTAATTTATACGAAAACATATTTGTGAACATTAAATTCAACAGTTGTCTTTACTCTGCCAGTTGATTAATCCGCTGTGAATATTAAATGGGAATGAGACCCTCTTTCTTGTACAAAAAATGTTTTAGATTATTGAGTATCGACATTTACAGCAATCTCAGTTTACAGAATAAATACTGTTGTCATGTAGTAATGAACAATAACATTTTTTTAACTAACACAATTTTGATACCAAAATTAGGACATCTGCTATTTTCTCTAAACTAGGTCAGTTCAACTGGACCATGACCTTCCGTCTAGACTCAGACATCCCCCAGCTTTACGGCACGCTCGAAAGACTTTACGACGTCCCCAAGAAAAACTACAACCAAATTTACTCGTCTAAAACCTTCCAGGCTGCCTGGTTCGTCAGCCATTGCTACGCTCAAAGTATGCGCGGTGTGTACGTGGAACGGATGAGATCAGTTCTTGACGTCCACATCTTTGGCGAATGTGGAGACGGCAACCATACTTGCCAGGAGGGAACTAACAGACGTCATGCAGACAGTGACGTCTGCCTGCCCATGCTTTCCCGCTCTTATTTTTTCTACCTGGCTTTCGAGAATTCGATATGTAAAGATTACGTCACGGAGAAATTTTTCAAACTTTTTTACGATGTTGACGTCATACCGGTCGTCCGGGGCGGAGCAGACTACAAAAGTTTTTTCCCGCCTAAAACTTTTGTTGACGCGGCGGACTTTGATACACCGGAAGAGTTGGCCGTGTTTCTGCGGAAGTTGTCGCAAGACAAACAGCTGTACCTGCAGATGCTGGAAGAAAAAAACAAATACCGGACCGTACCGGAGGTGCCGTGGACGTGCAACTTGTGCCGGAAGATGATGCAAGACTCCAGTGTACAGTGGTACCCGGATATCTGGAGTTGGTACGTGCAAGACCAGTGCCACAATCCTAAGACAGTCTAGCTTTGTCTTGGTAGTCTAAGACCAGTGCTACAAACCTAAGACAGTATAATTTTTCAAACAATATTCACATGTTTAACGTTTGGTAGTTATGGGAGATTTTGATTTATATTTATATTTTTTTATCCTTTCAATAACAAATGTTTACCTGTTTGATGCTGGAATTGTGTAATGTTACGGGATATGTATGATCTAAAATTCGTTATTGCATATGGAAAGTCATTTTTAATAAATCATGTAAGAAAACCGTCATCAAATTATAACTCTTATGGAGAATTCAGTATTTTCCACCAATGCAGAACATGATTTTGTTACAAAAGTAAAAGCATCTAGAAATGCAAAATGTATTATAGTGGATACAGCTGTGTTTAAATTAGTGGCCCAAGTGTCTTTTTTTCTCTACCAAACGTATCTGAAAATTAGAATTAAAAAATGTATTCTAACAAACAGTAACATCATAGGGCAGCATCGTATTTTCTTGGTATCTTTTGTAAACGTCTAGTTGAAGTTTAAAAAAAGTTATTTTATAAATGTAAGCTATCAGATAATTACCGATAATTACCATCTGTAGGCCTATATTGTTAAATATATCAATTATATCCGTTGCTACAGTTAATGTTTTGGGAAATTTACAGTTTCGTTTTAAAATAATGTTTTATAAATTGTTTTATTGAAATAATCTTTGAGTGAAAGGAAATAGTGGGCATTGTATTGCAGGGAAAGATATACATAATATGAACTTATAAAAGCAACAATATTATAACTTTTAAAGAATTTTATTGATTGTGAACAGTGAAGAAATAAAAAAAAAACAATTAAAACTAAAATTTACCAAATAACATCAATAACTGACAATTCATCCATAGTACCATAAATCGAAATTCATATAATCATTATTTTAAAATTTCTTTGGATGTATTGTTATAGACCTACTCCTGAAAAACAAATTTTATTAAGTCGTAATTTTCCATACTAGATACAAAAGCTGCTTTATAATAGGTAAAATATTTTATACTTTTTTTTGTAAATCATGCTTTAAAAAATAAAATATTTTATTGTATATAAATGATGCATTCAAAAATAAAAACTGTAAAAGTCGAACAATAACAAACAAGTTAATAAAAAGTCTAGTGACAATTTAAGCGCAATTTCCTTAATTAATTTTTTAGAATTAACAGACCTACGTAAGAATCTTTTCGAACCTCCGCTCATTCGCTATGGTAAAATCCTTTCGAACCTCAGCGCTTTGCGCTAAAAACCTACACGATGCTCAGTTTAAATTAAAACCAGGCCTACAAGATGCTCAGTTTAAAATATATTAAGAAATTTTTTTGTGACCGAACAAAACGATATTTTTGAAAACTTTCTTCGGCAATATTGGTTTAAATTATGGCAGGAATCGATTGGTAAATGTTATGTTTCAGGTCGCTAAGTGGTCTGGTTGCCGAAATATGGAGCAAAAACTGCATTTGTTCGAGGTTTTTTGGTTTTTCCGGGAAATCCAGGAAGGAATTCCATGAATATTTTTGGCCCACAATCATCCTTGGAACTTGCTTAACATATTTGGTTTGGAACTAGTCCTCGATATTGCTTTGTTGAGGAGGAGATACGACTTAAAGCTGCGGACACACATCCATCCATACATCCATCCATCCAGAAATGACGAGTTAATAATCGCAATTGTCCGTATGGAAATTGCGCTAAAAAAAATAAGAAATAACTTCACAAACGCTTTATGTTGTTTTGTTTCAAACTAGAAATTTGTAAGAGTCGGGACGAACGAGAAAGAAGCGAGTAATCAAAATACTGATATACCTATTACGCGTCCAAAACGGCAGCACTAGTTGCGGGCTAGATTTGTTTCGCGTTTTAAAACTGAAACCAAAACTGAGACAAAATAAATGTAATGAAACTAAACGAGAATTACTTCTTGTTTTTTGTTAAGATGTAACACGATAAATTGTCTAGTGACTTTTCTTCCTAGCATAAAAAATAATGTCTTCAGTAATTAAATAAAATTCCATCTAATGTACTTTAATAGGTCAGCAATTTTCTGTTATTTCAATTGAAACGCTAAGAAAAAATCATCTCGAACAGAAGTTGTAGAAAACTATTTTTAAAATTATTTTAAAACATTTTAACATTTTGAATCAGAAAGTAATCACCAGCAGAGATTCAATGGATCGTTGACAATGCTGTACCGAACAATCAGAAAGTAATCCGCAGTAGGGCTTAAAAAACGGTAAAGAAGTTAAGAAAAATATAATTTAAAATCAATAATCGAATCGGATCTCATTTAACTCAATCACGTCACATATTGCATGTAGTGTATTGTCAATGTTAGGTTATTGACAAATCTTTTGGCTTTAAAAAGATTGGATATGCTAATTGGTGTTATTTTATATTGTCTTTTTCATATTAAGAGTAACTAAATTAACTAATGAATACGACACTTCGTTTTACGTGTCGTAAAAGACGCAATACATCTTCATAAAACCCCAATGATAAGTTGACCAGTGGGTTTAAAATTATAAGAGCAACATAGTTTGGGGTCAGTTTCGGATGCAGTTTGTAAATACGCCGAATGTTTAGCTTTGTACTAGCCTCTAGTAATTCGTTTTAGCTTATTACGGCGCTACTCTACCACTGGTATAGTAAACTCACGTACCGAATTCTTTTGGATGGTTATAAACTGTTGAATTACAAGCTAAAAGAGTACCAGACAACAAAAACTCTCCGTGATCTCGTATCTAACGTCTAGGGGGGGGGGGGGGGGGGGGAAACACGAAGAACTCCTGTAACTAATAACACTTTTAATCAATTTACAAACTTTTGAAATGTATACAAGTCAAAAAAAAAACTCTAGATTCCATGTAAAATATTATAAACGTAACGCAAGACACAACTTACGAGTTGAAGAATAACACAAAGTAACTATAAACACAGGATATGGCACTTAGGTAATAAACACAACCTACTAGAAATTAAAGTGAGGCACAGAAAAATACTTTAAACACGGGTAATTAGGGAAAAAATGCTGCTTAACTTATGAAATACAACATGGCGTCGTACATGGCATTCTCTCTCGGCAAAATGTCTGGTCAACTGCCTCGAGAGAAGAGCGTTCCTGGTATTTATGTGACCCCAGAGTCATGGGATGTCCACCTTAAAGTCGCCAAAGTACGAATCAACTAATCGAAATTATTGGTGAATTTCACCACATACCGTGATGGAACTTTCCTGTGGATTGCACCACAGACCACTCAAGGTCGATTATAGAAGTGTAAAATTAAATAATAGAAAAAGAAGACGTAAGTAGGTCCCACGCTTTTGTGCTAAATTCTATGCTAAGGGGCCTGTTTTAGTTTACTTCTAGCTTAATTAAAGTGCAATATCTATCATTTTGCAGCTGCAAGTAAATGCTATAGGTGTAGCGGAACGAAAAAGCATGCATAAAAACATTTTAATAAAATGCTTATATGTAATAATGCACTAAAAAGGATATATATATATATATATATATATATATATATATATATATATATATATATATATATATATATATATATATATATATCCTTATAATTAAATAGTAATAATCACAGAATGATGAGAGTGTATTTTTTAACTAAGCACAAACTTTTTGCACATTTTCACCATCTTTTACAAAATTATTTGAATCTTTAGAATTATAGTGCTTAAAAAATATGTTTTCCCCTTTTTAGAAGAAGGAAAATTACACTATTGATGCATTCTAAAAGTTATTTTAAATAGGTAAATGGATAGTGTGGTCTTTTTAAAAATATTATTATGTATAGCTTTATGATTAAGTTAAACGAACAGGCGATTTTAGCCATTGTTCAGGAACTCTCATTAATTCACATTGCCTATTCCAAGTCAAGAGATCAATGTGAACAAAGTTTATGTTAAACTTAACAGCACAAACATTCACTTTAGCTCTTAAATCAGTAACCACTATTAGCTTATCTTGATGGTAGAAGGCGCCGTAGAGGTTTAATGTGCCAGTCCAAAGTTGTTGACTGAAAACGAAAGAAATCGTCTCATAATTGACAATCTCAAACATATGGCCACTGCCTAGCAGCAAGTAATGTATACCACATTTTTCAAAAAATTTAAAGTTATCCATTTCTTTTTCTACACTGTGTACTTCATGCAATGTTTCTGATATCAAATTAAAGTAAATAATTTTTGTCACATCTCCACTCACGAAAAAGACAATTTTATCTCCTATAACTAACGAATGATAAAATACAACGTGGACTATGTTGGTTCCTACTAAACTTATTCTTTGACAATTTATCCATGAACTCACTCTGCTTTTGCCGAGAACATTTTTAGAGACTGATAAGGACGTGTCAGACAACACGAATTTGTATATAGCGGGATAAGCCATAAAATACTTCAACTTAGCAGAAGAACTTTCGGATTGACTACCCTTGAAAATTAAATCCGAACAATCTGGATTACTAACTTTCCTGACTTCTGAATACGAATTCCACGAATCAGATGTTGGCCAACTATAATAAAGACGCTTTTCAAATACATAAAAACTGTTTAAACTGTTTAAACTGGAGGTAGTCACTAAGTAGAAAAAACTACCTCTGTTTATGCTATACATGAAGAAAGTACGATTCTCTAAGTAAACAATGACTGGTTCTTCACAATAATTACTAGATACGGTATGAAATTTCGTGTCAGGAATCCGGTTGGTAAGTTTATTATGTGCAGCCACGGCCCAATCAGGGATTTCATAAACATCCGGGTTCTCTATATTTAAGTGGGCTAAGGCTAAAGCATTTGAGACGTTAGTTGTTGTCTGGTAAACCTGCATGCCACTTCCGGCACTGACTACCTGCATGCTATTACTAGCACTCGTTCCTTTTATAAATTGCTACCTTCATGTCAGACTTATAGAATGTTCGAGCAGCCAACTCATGCATGACTGCGTCTTTAATGACCTGGTTTTGCATAGCCAGAGTGTTTTCAAAAAGCATCTTCAGACTAGATTCACTAAATTTTCCAAAATCCACCTTCTTGATTAACTGCCCCAAGTTTTCACTCCTAGGGACACTGTCAGCAACAAATCGACCAAGATGTTCTTGTTTGAAAGAGAATGTTACAGACGGACACTGCGAGGTAGTATCCATAAGCTGAGTAACATCGCTGTATAATTGGTATTGAAATAATCCAACTGGATTGCTAGGAACGTGACTTGCCCATTTGAGAAGAGATTCCACTAGTATGTCGTGTGAATTAAAACTTGCATTCTCTATAATTTTTGATAACACTTCAGACGGCATGTTTAAAAACGACGGGGCTGTACTAAATTTACTAAAATGATTTACCATTAATGAGATTATCTTATTATAAACATTAGGAGAACCTTTGCAGATAAAGATGCCGATACTATTGAAAATACTAATGTAGTTTCTGATTGATAATAAAAATGTAGTAATATGCTCTTCACGATTCCTTTTCAATAAATCAATTTTCAAATAATGTGAAGCAAACCAAACATTCAACACATTGGATGTATTAAGTTCAAAAACTCCTGTAAACAACGCCTTGATGACACAACTAAACACATCAGCACTGATCCCCTTAATGACGATATTCTCCTTGTGTGTGATAGACTCAGTGTGAAAAACTTGCCTGAAAAACTCTGAACAAGCGCTGAGATGGAAGCCACTGGCCTGAAACACCTGGCCATCCACAGAAATTCTACAGTCGCTGTGTTCATTGTCTGACCAGTAGCGGCCCACACTTTGGATTATATCCACTGCCAATTTGCTGTTCATTGCTATATAATTTGCCTCTGATGGGTTGCCCTATTAATCTAAAATAAAAACAAAATAGTTGTCATTCGATGGAGCATTTGGTAACGCATATACTATTCAAGCAATTTTAGAATAATTCTTTGCTTCCCTAGTAATTTTTTGAATTTGCAGTTTACTGCTCAAGCTTACTATACATTAATTAATTACCTCATAAATTTTTAGAACTTAACAAAATAAAACATTTGTTTTAGAAATTTGATCTGTAAAATGTGATACTTTATAAACAAAATTGAAGTAGCGAGTTGCGCAGCTTGCGCCGTGACCTTTGTTGCCATGGTAATCATGGCTGTACCTTGAACCTAAATTCCTTGTTTCCGGTTGACCATTGGTATTTAGGGCCGTGTCGCTTACGGCGCTAACACAGCACACCTGAGCTACGCATGACACCGTGCGCATCTTTGTTTTAACCTCAAGAGGATTTAGATTCAAAGCCTATTTTAATTTTTGGATCTCGTTTGTTATCTTACAGAGGAGCAATGTGCTGAAATATAAGGTAAGAGTCTATAAATAATAAGGTACTTAATATTTACATTGACATGCCCAAATGATGACTAGACTAATAATTGGGTCTTGTAAAATTAACCTATATTTTAAAATTACGATTTCAATGTTCCGCAAGCCTAGGAAGGCTCACCGCGATAGAGCCTTAATTTCGCGCCATTTCTTAGTTATTAAAATATTATTAAAATCTCGTGGTATCGCATTTTTTTACAGCTGTTTGTACTAAATCTAGATTTAGTATGCGTTCATATTTTAATAAATTAATAGTAGGGGCCTAATTGAAACCTTTACTAATAATTAGGCATTACTATTTTAGTTTATTATACTCACACTGAGGACTTAGGCCTATTATAATTACATATATGTGAGTTATTGAATTAATTTTGTTAAATTTACTTAGCCTACGTAGGGCCCATTAAATTATAATTGTATTAGATTTTAGATCTAGATTCTAGATCTATCAAGAACATTTTAATCATTTTAAGTACAGCCTAGTTACAAAACTAGTTAACAAGTAGATCTAAATTCTATTATTTATTCTAAAATCTAGTTAGTAGGCCTAGGTAGATCTAGATCTATCTTTTTTAGCCTAGTAGATTCTATATATTATATATATTATTAAAGATCTAGATCTATATTATAATATAATAGTAGTCCCTATTAATTCTATTATATAGGCCTATGAATAATAAATATATTCTAGATCTAGTCTAGATTCTTAAATCTATTCTAGATTCTAGATAATTTATAATAGATCTAGGCCTAGAATGCACATTTTAAAAAATATAGATCTAGCAATACTTTGCGCATATCAATTATTTTTCTTTCACTTTTTCATTTTCAGTCTAGTCTACATTAATATTAAACTTACTAGGACTCTAGCTAAGTACTAGCTTAGCTAGATCTAGAGACAAGCAGTCTAAATCTAATTCTTCATCTTGAATATTTGTAAAATAGACAAAAAGAATACAAGATAAGTATTATTTTCCTATTCTCTCCTAAAAATTACAGACTCTTTAATTGCAGTAGGACTATTAAAATTAAAATCAGAAGGTGTAGGCCTGGATAGTATAGTCTATAGTATAGACAATCAAATTTTCAAGAGTGTGCTAGATTTTCTAATTTATTATTAAGTTGTGATTAGTTCTTCTATTTTAATTTTAAATTGATTTTGACATTTGTTACTTCAAACTGTTTCATTTATTTATTAGGATCCAGTAATTAGTTTATACTTACTTACTTTAATTTATATACTACAACAAATCTACCTAAACATTAATTGAATTAATTTTTGTTAACTTGCTTTCTTATTTTAACTTCAGATTATACCTTAACATATATGTCTATAATTTTTTGTCTATTTTAATTGAAGTTTAGAACTAAATTATGGAATCTGTTTCCAGTTATACAGGCCTGCTTGAGGGTTTCTTAGAACCATCACTTCCATTGCTTAATGGATATGTTGCACGCCAGATTCATTATTCCAGTGCCACTCCTGTAATACAACTTAGTAGGCAGTTGGCAGTGCAGCAGCATTTGTGTACTGAGCACGATGAGGCAGGTGTACGAAGGATTGCATATGCAGTTAAAAAGCTGACGATTGAGACAAAGCGGCTTCGGAGAACTGGTGCTCGCGACTGGAATAGGCTGGTTGAAATCCTGTACAGCCCTTTTTTTGTTCAACCCATGGCTCAGGAGGATGTGCATTCCACAACTATGGAAGCTGAGTTGTTAGGTGAAAGGTTTGTAGTGGGAGGTAATGTAAGTATCATTGCAGGTCCTTCAGCTGATGTTGAGCAAGATCCAAGTGAAAGTTTAGTGACTGAGGAAGTGAGTACTATAGAAAGCCTGTCAACATCTGCTGAGGAGAATTTGATTTTGAATCAAGGTTTTGTCACAAGTGATGTAAGTATGGGTGTTGATGATTTGCATAATGAAACTTTTTCCACAGGTAGGATTCTTCATGTAGCACGCTTGGATGAACACAATTATTGTATTGGTGCTGACCACAGTGTAGAGATGTCTTCAACCACAGAAGGAAGTAACAAAAGCAGTCAGGTAAAGTGTTATGACTTAAGAGGTAAGAGGTGTTCTAGGTGTGTTATTAAAAATCAAGCTATTCTTCAGTTAAAAAATGTGATTAAGAAACTTAAACTTGATCTTAAAACAATGAAATCACTTAAAGTTAGAAACTTGACTAGATCATTGCAGAGGAAGCATGTGCAGGTTCAAAGCTGGAAGACAAAGTATATGCAGGAGAGAGAAAAAAATCTGCAGTCAAGACAGGCAAGTGTTAACGTTTCTTCTCCACAAGCTGGACTGGACGATCGAGGTAAGAATTTAATGATTGCTAAAATTAAACTGTCAAAATTGCAGAAAAAGTTTCAGGTTCTTACGCAGCAACATCTTCAAGACATCCATGAATGGCAATCCAAATACAAGAGTGAAACAGCCAAGTTGATGGAAGGGCACGACAGACTGGTGGCTGAGAATAGTAAGCTTCTAAAAGAGATTGACGACCTGATTACTGAGAAGAACCATTTTGCAGCCAAGATGCATAGCTTAGAAGCAGAGAACAGCAAGCTAATTGAAGATTATGATGCATTGGTAGATGCTAGCCAGGATGAGGAAGTGACAGGTATTGGTAAGTTTGATTTAAAGGTAAGAAAGGTAACGTATGAGTCTCTTTTGAAAAATGTTCCTGTTCGAAATGTTGGCCAGTTGGCAGAATACATTGCAGAAGCAGTCGGCAAAGGCACCCTGAAGATGCCCCACTACTCAAGCATATCCCGGATGGCTCATGAACCCGGAGTCCTTGCTTTGATTCAAGTAGGAGAGGCCCTTCAAAACTGTAAGTCTGCTTGTATAAAATTTGATGCTACCACCAAAGCAGATAAACATCTTAATACTTTTTCTGTTTCCACAGTGCCAGATACAGAAGACTTAGTGATTTCACCTGCCATAGGAGCCAGTGATGGAGCTACCATGGAGCCAGCTACAGAAGACTTTGTGATTTCGACTGCGAGAGTAGCCAGTGGTAGAGCTGTAGACTATGCGGGCCACATTATTTCTTCCATGAAGGAAGTGGCCTCTGTTTACAGTGACTACACTGGCCTGCCATTTGTTGAGGTGCTGTCGATGTTTAAAGATAAGTGTACTTGCAGCGTGACGGACAGGGCGGCGGTAAACACATGTGTATTGGAAATGTTGCAGAGTGAGCTGGATATGCAGTTGATCCAACTGAAGTGCAACATACACCCGTTAGACAGTGTGGCAACGAAAGCGAGGGAGTGCTGTTCAGACTTGGACAAGAGGTTTAAGGTATCATCATCTAGTGGTAAGAGTGTAGCTACAGCGGTAGGGGTCATTGTGAATGTTTCCAAGTTGAGGTATGTCCTTTTATACATAATAATTTTTTAGTTAATTTTAAATTATGTACTTTCAATTCAATGTTTATTTGAGCTTTCTTGTCATAATTTTCACCATTCTCTTACAGCATTCAATTTATTTCTAGTTTTATATATTATTATGTACTTTTGCAAATTTTCAGCTAAGTTTTAGACTACTCTTTAAATTTTAATTTGTACTTTAAATACAATGTTTATTTCAGCTTTAATTATCTTCACCATCCACAGGACTTCACAATTCATTTTTAATTTTTTAAATGTTATTCTTTGCACATTTTTTGCTAGATTCTAATTACATCTGCCCTCTTTTATTTTCAGGTACAGTTTTCATGGAGAACCTGCCTCATTCAAGGCTCACCTGAAAGAGAACGATGTGGCTGCTGGAACATTTGTCCGTTACGTTGGAAATCGACTTCATCTGTTGTTTCGTATGGCTGGGGTTGTTATTCAGTACAAGAACTTGCTAACAGGATATCTTGTTGGGTAATTATACAATTTTTATACCTTTTTGTTACTTCCAAATTTAAATTATACAAACTGTTTACCAATTTATTTATTTTTTATTAGAAAAACAACCAAAGTCTGCACTCAACTGCTTGCTGATCTGAAGAAACCTGAGGTTCTCGTGCAGTTGCAAGCACTCGGGCTCATTGGGAAATTGATCTCTGGCCCTTGGATGAAGTTGATTTATAAGAATGCAATGCGGCGGTCAAATCTGGCTTTTGTAAGTAATCACTTTTATCCCTACAATAAATATAAATTTTATTTACTGATATATTTTATATATACTGATGTATTTTTGACACAGTTGATTGATTGTCTCCAATTGTTTTAGGTATCAGAGTTCCAGTATGCTATGAAAGAAATTGAGAGGTTAAAGAGTAATCCTGAAGGTGTTCTGACAACTAACTTTGATGTGTTTGGACAACATCTGGAGGTGGACAGAACTTTGGAAGCTCTTCGGCTGGAGCAGAACAGCACTCTGTTTAATGAAGTCATGAAAGCATTGTTGACGTCTACTGAGTCTGTCTTGGTGCGACAGCTGGAGAGGTATCTGGTTGGAGATCTTTCCAACCCCACAAGTGAGATGTTGGATGCCACCAGTTCTGCGCCACCTCACAATATTTTTTCAGAAAGGTGTCTCGGCATTGCAGACTACCTTATCAGGCGTTCCCCAAATGTGTCAGTTGGTTTCATGGACTCTAAGTTAAAGGCAAGTGTGAATGGCACACTTAAGTGGCTGGATCAAAAGTCTGTTCCAGAGCAGATGAAACTGGTTACCTTCGCGATGCATAGGGGAGCCCAGATAAGGAAAGCCTGCATTCTGTTGCAGCAGCAAATAGATAGGGACATTTTGTCACGCATGAAGGACTTGAAGGAAAAGCAAGAAAAGCTTGAAAGGAAAAAGCTTCAGACTGCTGTCCGCAAGGCTATGTGTGACAAAAATGTCTCTGTTGAAGAGCCTATTTTTGCTGCTGTTGATAGAAAGCAGAGACAATTTCTGTCTAAAATTTTGGCTGGTGAAGATCTGGTTGGTGTCCAGCTAACTCATAAGTGGGAGCTGGATGATCAGGGTGTGTCCCAATACAACGGAAGGATTATTGAAAGGGTGCCAGCACCAAAAAAGAAGTCAGCTGTCTACACCATCAGTTACTGGTCGGAGGATGAGGATGATGCTGAGTATTTTAGCCATCTGGCAGAATCACTGGTTGTTGACTTGCTTTACAGGAATCTTGAGTTTCTTTCTGAATATTAGCTAATCAGATTTCAGAGTATTTTTTTACATTTTTAGTTTACAAATTAACTTTATTTTTTAAACATTAAAGTGTTTTTATAAATTGTTACTGAAAATGCATGCTCTGAATTGTGTGAACTAATTTTTAAAACTAATACTAACAATGTTTATAATTTTTAAAGTGTTGTTTATATAATGTAAAAAAAAAAATTGTACAATTTAATTACTTAGCTTATTTTTCAGGGTAATTGAAATCTGCTAGATAATCCTAGAATCAGAACTGTGCTTCAAAATGCTTGTCAAAACTAATTTAAACTTATTTTCTTTTACAGTTTGATCACTCAAGTACTAACACTTTTAAAAACATGTATTTCTTTAACTCAGATATGCTAATAGTTTCTATAGAATAAAAATAATTGATACTTTAGAAAATTGTTTTAGCACTAAGTGGTTTAAGAAAATTAATATGACATTTAAATTTTTTTCCAGCATACACTGAAGTCAAGGAATATATTAAATAGTAAATTTACTTAAAGCCAAAATTTTATTTAATGTTAAATACTTGATAATTAATACTATTTTTTTTCTTCAGATAGATCAAGTGATGAGGAGCTGCTGATGTTGCATAGATGAAGTGATGAGGAGCTGCTGATGTTGCATAGATGAAGTGATGAGGAGCTGCTGATGTTGCATAGATCAAGTGATGAGGAGCTGCTGATGTTGCATAGATCAAGTGATGAGGAGCTGCTGATGTTGCATAGATCAAGTGATGAGGAGCTGCTGATGTTGCATAGATCAAGTGACGAGGAGTTGCTGATGTTGTCTGATGTCAATGTCGCCTGATGTCGTGTACTGTAGATTTGTTTCTTCACACTAATGTAGATAGTGGATTTATGTTTCTTCAAGCTATTGTTGATTGCTGATTTATTTCTTCATGCAAATGTTAATTGTGGATTTATCATGTTTCTTCACAAATGTTGATGGTGGAATTGTTCTATGTTTATCTAAGATTATTAAAAAAAAGCTACATTTAATAGGGAGCTGTGTAATTTCTGTGCTCCAAAAGCAACTTGTGTATTATAATTTTATTAGACAAATTTACAATTAATGTAAATAACTGTAATTTAATATTAATAATCTTATTCTATACTTGAAAAATTGTTAACACATTTTTATAATTTACATTAGTTTACTCATAATAAATGAAAACTAGTACACACTTTTACAGCTGTTTTCTGTTTATTTTGTTTTATAAATAATTTTATTATGGGCTCCTGATAACAAGTACACAAGATGGGGTGGGGGGGGGGGGGGTGGAAGTAAGTATCGTAAATGCAGCCAGCTGCTACTTGATGAATTCAACAATGTCGTATGTGTAGGTCCACTCTACTGTGCTAGTGCTCGTCTCTAATTGTAAATAGTAGTACAAGTATTTATTTTAAAGTATTAAATATCAATAAATCTAGATCTAGTTTTATTTTAAACTTACGACACGTTGATAGTTTTTACACCGAGTAATAGTAATATTTTAATCTGTTAAATCACTTCCAGTCCACTTTTATTATAATAAACTTTATTATAATTTTTTAATTTTATAGTTGCAAAAAATGCGAATCTGGGATGATGCAATACAATTATAATTTTTTAATTTTTCGAAAAATGCGAATCCGTGATGATGCAATGAAAAAACCATCGGTGCCAACTTTTTTGTTTATGTAACATTGAATTGAATGACGAAGGTCTAAGCTGTTTTAGCCACGCCCACAAATTTTTAAAAGGCCATATCTTAGCTCCTAATTAAGCTAGAGACACAAAATTGGTATCAATGTGTAGGGAAAAAAATCCTGTTTTTTTGTGGTATAATTTTATTTGAAATCAGTGGAGTTTAAAATTTACGAGCAACAGCCTAATTGAAGTAGGCAGCAGGCAACTGAAAACCAAATTGCTAATTATATTTAAAGTACCGCTTTGTCTATATCATCAGCTAAACCAACATGCACCGTATCATCTTCTTTACTTTTCATGATTTAGCCAGAACAACAAATTAACACACATTAGGCCGCCGTCATGTGTCAATCTTAATATATACATTTCAAGAAATCAGAAATATGCAAATTTGTAGAGTTTTACGTTGCCCGTTATGTTGAAAGAATTATTAGTAGTATATTAAGTCCCTTTGGGTATCATTTTTGGCAGAGAGTGAGGGTGAAGGTGAGGCGCAAAGGATGAGGAGCCGGAAGTACAATGAGATGAGGGTGAGGGTGAGGTACAATGACATATAGTAAAATACTATACAGGCGGAGGCGCAGGAGGAGGCGGTGGCGGAGAGGGAGTAGGTCACCCACTGACCTGTGACCTACTGACCTAGTGACCTCTGGGGAGGGTGAGGAGTGACCTTGTGACATAATGACCACCAGGTTAGTGACCTAGTTACGTAAAGACCACCGAGTTAGTGACCTAGTTACATTTTTTAAATTTTTAATTTTTTAATTTTAATTTTAGGTTTTTTAATTTTTATTTATTTTAAGTTTTTAAAATTTTCTTCTTCTTCTTCTTCGTTCTTAATTATTAGTGTTGAAGGGGATCGAGATTTATCTGCCAGTGCGTTTGAACTCGAGACTTTATTCGAATTTATCAACCATGAGCTTTTTTGCCGACTCGACCACGCCTCCAACACAATTAAGCGGTACGTGTCAACTGGTTATGCGCCATTGAGGCCATTGACTCCGATTTCAGCCTGCTTTTCTTTTTGGATTTGCTTCCATAGCCTTTGTCCAACCAAGAACAATCTACAAGGCAGCAGTTGTTTAATTTTGGAGTTGTCTCTCCTAGAAGAGTAGCTGTCCCCAGGTAACGAGCCTTATCTGCCCGGGGGTTCGAACTCGAGACTTTTCGGTTTAGCAACCATGAACTTTACCGACTCGACTCTTTTAATTTTAATTTTTATTGTTTAATTTTTATTTATTTTTATCTTTTTAATTTTTAATTTTTTAATTTTAATTTTTCAAATTTTATTTTTAAAATTTTAAAATTTAAATTTAAATTTTTTAATTTGTTTGTTTGTTTATTTGTTTGTTTTTAATTTGTTGTTTAATTTTAAAAAAATGAGGTAGTCCTATTTTGAATTTTTAATAACAAAACCCATAACTACAGTATTTTCTGACAATAGTGTACAATAAATAGGTTTTCTTTGTGTATACAATTCCATTAAAGCTGTGGTCAAACCCATTTACTGCAGGTGTTACAAAAGTCAATACTTTTAATAACTACGCGCACTGCGTTAATGTTTTTTTTTTAATGTGCCGGGAAACATTAAATCAACAATTACACCACAAGCTGTTGCCAGCATGACAGGCAGTAAACGGGTTGTAAATAATTGCCTCACGCTTTCTTTGTCTTCCCCGGTGATCTGACACCCGACTGTAATTTATCACCCCAGGGTTTCTTTGTCTTCCACCAAGCTGGGTAAAATTAATTGCTTTTCCCCGAAGCTGTGGTCAAGTAATTGCTTTTTATCTGAATACCCGCTGTCTAGGCCATAGTCATCACCATGTTTTAAGGTTTTCTAGTGATGACATTCTACACCTTTTTAAGACAGACTTAGACACATTCACACATCCACATACACACACACACTAAAAGCGTAACAAAGGTCTTCTTATATTTTATTTATTTATTAACGTTTTTCCAAGATATCAAAGGCTTTTAAAATATTAGTAGGCACGTTTATTTTATTTACATATAAATTTTGTTTTAGGTTACACCATTTGTACTGCTTATTGATTATTAGAAGAATTTTCAACACTTGTTTGTTGGTTTCATACACTTTTATTTATTTACCTAGGTTAGACTATATTGTAATCACGATGTTTTCATTGTTTTATTTATATTTGTTGTGTTTGTGTTGTGTTGTGTTGTGTTTGTGTTGTGTTTGTGTTGTGATTGTGTTGTGTTAGTGTTGTGTTTGTGTTGTGTTTGTGTTG